ATGTCTGATGAACTCTGACCTCAGATCAGTTTCCACTTTGCTCGGTGGATTTTAAAGGAGCTTCGGAGGAGGCGGTCGCATCTGTCTTCTTCTCTGATGCAGCTTTAACCTGCACGTGTGGACGGCGAGCCCACGCACTGATGTCACCACAGACTCGCATCTGTCTAATGCAGCGCACAGATTGCAGGCAGCTTTCTGCTGATTGGTGAACGTCTGCGCATCTCATCTTCTGAGAAGCTCTTTTCAAACGCTGTCATGTTCCTGACCTGCTGCCAAATAACCTGATTACAGCGTCGCTCCGGCTGTTGCTGCTCAGTAAAATGTTCTTTTCCAGCCTTTTTGTCACCGTCCAACTTTTTTAGAGACACGTTGCTGCCTCATAATTCAAATGAGCTCATGTTTTTCATGAAATAATAAAATGTTTCCATTTAAATACTTGATATGTTTCCCATGTTCTGAAATATGTCTTTATGATTTATTTATTTCTGTTTTCATTTCCTGTTTGTACGTTAGAGGAGGCGTCTCTTCTTTTTTCTGAAACACTCATTTCGATCTGCAAACGACATCTTTTCACTGAGTTTTTCTGTGCAGGGATATTTGTTAAATATTAAAATAGTTCTCAAGAAGTGATGAAAACATCAAAACCAGCCTCCTGAAGTTGGACTAAACCCAGTGAAACATATTACGACAGTGACAGGTTCGGGCGGGCGACCCGGCACGAACGCCAAAGCAAAGACGAGATTTAAACGCACGAGTGCGATCCGAACAGCAGCATTAAGCGCTCCACAGATGATCAGCTTTCATCCCGTGTGCAGTTTGGTTCATTCAGAAACTCGATGTTGTTGAGACCCAGCCGCACAGCTGAGCGAGCACAACTGCACACAATGAATGCAGCGGCAGCGAGAGGCCTTGATCCTTTGTTGGTGAGCGGATAACAAATCCATTTAATATATGCTACGGCCTGTTAGCGAGCACAGCCAGAAAGCTGAGCAGCATTTAAATCCCCACAACAAGACGTTTTACCAGCACTCGAGGCGGCCTGGAAACAAAAGGCAGCAGCTGTCAAACGGCCCCAATTTCAAACACCAGATTCAGACTGACTCCACGTGTCAGGTTGAATTTAGTTGGACTATCCTGTTATTTTGGAGGGTTTGTTTTACTTCTCTGCATCTGCATTTTCCACGTGAGCTGACATTAGTCGTTTTCCATCAGTAAGAACACATCGGACTGCAAAACACATCGAGGCTTCGATTGCTGAGCAGAGGACCCTTCAAAGACTCTAAACTTTCCCTGAGTGACTCAGGGTTTTGTGTTTGTTTAA